AGCATGTTCGATACTGGTTACTGTGTGTGACTTTGCTCGCTCTGTGAACAATGAGATTGTGTCCTGCCATAATTCCTGGCTCATCAGGATGCTCTTTAGCAGCCCTGTTTCCTTTTGGGAGATAACTGAACATTTACTAAACATTTAATTTAAATTTTAATTTAAACGTTTAGTTAAGACCACACTTAGAATACTGCGTCCAGATGTTGAGACTCTGGAAAGAGTGCAGAAAAGAGCAATATTTAGGGGGCTGGAGGCTAAAACATATAAAGAATGGTTGCAGGAATTGGGTATATCTAGTTTAATGAAAAGAAGGACGAGGGCAGAGGTCCTCAACCTACAGGCTGCAGTCCACTACCGGGCTGTGGCCTCTTGGCCACCGGGATGCGTGAATGGCTGGCCAGTATGCACATGCGTGTGCATACGCTCACCCATGTGCCAGCGTTAGCCTCGCTGTGAGCCGCGAGCCTTGCACCGACGCTAGCTTTCCCATGAGCCAGCGCTAGCCATGCTGCGAGCCTGGCGCAGCGCTAGCCTCACTGCAAGCTGCGCGCCGGCACTAGCCTTGCTGCGAACCTCGTGCTAGCACTAGTAGCCCCATTTGTGGAGCACGCATACTCGCAGCCCCGTTCGTGCGCACGCGCGCAGCCACATTTGCATGTGTGCGCATGCCCCTCCCTTTCCCACCAGGGCGCCAATCCAGAAAGGTTGGGGAACCCTGGGCTAGGGGACACAAGATAGCAGTGTTCCAATATCTTCTCTGCCACTAAGAAGAGAGGCTCAACCTAAGTCTAAAGAAAAGAAGAGATAGGGGTGACATGATAGCAGTATTCCAATATTTGAGTATTTGAGGGGCTGCCACAAAGAAGAGGGGGTCAAATTATTCTCCAAAGCACCTGAAGGTAAAACAAGTAGCAATGGATGGAAACTAATCAAAGAGAGAAACTACCTGGAATTAAGGAAATACTTCCTAACAGTGAGAACAATTAACCAATGGAACGGCTTGCCTCCAGAAGTTGTAGATTCTTCATCGCTGGAGGGTTTTAAGAAGAGACTGGACAGCCACTTGTCTAGAATGGTATAGGGCAGACATGTCAAACACAAGGCCTGGGGGCCGGATGTGGCCCGCGAAGTGGTTTCATGTGGCCCGCGAAGCCATCCTGGAAACAGTGAGGGAACGGCCCCCGCTGCCTTGGCCCTGGCCCAGACCAGCCGGGAGCCAATGTACAATTTTGTGGTGGCCATCTATGCTGAAACGCATTCAGTCTTAGCTCCACAAGGCTGTCTAGAAACAGCGAGGAACTAGCCCCTGCCACGTCGCCCCCGCCCCCTGGGTGCATGCTGGGGAGATGTCACCCTTTGTGAGGAATGAAGAAATGCAACATCACCTGGAAGTGGCCAGCAAATGGCCCTCACCTACTTCACATATCGCAGATCGTGATCACATGACTGCAGGACTCTGTCACTGGTCAGAAATGCGAATCGGTTGCCAAGCCCCTAATTTACAACTACATGACTGCAGAGGTGGGAAGACAGTCTTAAGTTGGGAGGCTGGGGTTAATTAGAACCATTGTTAAGTGAAGGGTGATAAATTGAGGATTATCTATTTGCTCCCAAATTGAACCAAAGCTGCAAATGTTGACCCTACCCACTTGGATGTTATTATTCCACTTCCCACTTCCTCTGCAACTATCAGAGACTTAAAAAAAACATTTTTAAACAACAATGACTACTTCTATCAGCATATTATTTACCTTTCTTTAAAACACGGCTTTAAACATGTCCTTCCATTGTCCTAACACAGGATGAATCTCAGTCAACAGGGCCTTTGACAATTCGCCACGGCCAACTCGCCGCGGGACAAGAGTTACACCAATATCAAAGAAATGGTGGAACAGAATCGTTAAAGAAAGGGTGCAAAAGGAGGGACAGAATGAAATGTGAATGACAAA